TCTTGTATGGGATTTAGTAGTAACTCAAAATGCTAATGTGTTCTCATTTTCTCACCATTGGAATGGATAGCTACGAAGTTCCCAGTTGAAATGTTTTTTTTACCTAATACAAAATGTTTACCTAAGTAAAAGCCTCTCTCCTGAGGATGTAATTTGTTAAAATGCAAAAACAGGTTAATGCAGTTTTGAAATATATTTGGGTGTGGGTACTATTTTTTGGGTAGGATGACTGTTGGGGATTGTTCTTAATCAGCCTAGTGTGCTATTGATGATCTTAGTAGCATAGCTAAATTTGAACGATGAGATTTTAATTTTCTTGATTTTTTGTGCATGTGTTATGATTTGAATGGTGTAACATGATAATGTAGGTTCAATCACAAGTTGAATATAATATGCCGAGATCATCACGGCCAGGCAGCGTTGTCCACAGAAAAAGTGACATATCAAATAAACCATCCAAAGTCTCAGAAGATAAAACTAATAAAACCATGAAAAATGTCATGAGATGGGAAGTAGAAAACAAGGCTTCTAAAGCTGATGTCCAGATAAAACGACAGATCGACAGAAATCCAAGGATCGAGGTTTTACTTACCTTACCGTAGTCTTTACATATGAATTTAATTAAAAAGGGTTGTACTGTGAACAACCATTTTTATTTCATTACCTCCATTTTCTTGGATTTCTTTTTTTTTTTTTTAATAGTTTGCTTCTTTTTCGGCATTTCTTCTTTTTGTTGACTAATTATTGGCCATTTCCCCCTCAGTGTGGCTCGAAGGCAAAAGGAGACTATGATATTAGAAGGTACATAATTTTCTTGTATCTCCGGAATTGTCCAGAGCTATTGTTTTTTAGTCATTTTATTTATTTATTTATTTTTTTTTTTAAATCAGTATCCTTTTTTCCATAGGCAAATACCAAGAAACAGAAGAGTCGAGAAGTCTCTGTCCACGCCATTGCAGAAGTATCCAAGTAGAGTGCATCAAATAGAAAACAGGTTCTTGTCAAGTTAGTGAACTTCATATTAATTTGATGCATCAGTTTATCGGATCTAATAGATGAAATGTCTTTTTAGGAAGAAATATGTAGCTGATAAGCCTCAGACGTGCGTACATGATGATTCTAACTTCAGATTCAAATGCAATGAGAGTGTAGAGAGAAGGAAAGAGGTAAAAATCGATAATGTTCTGTTAACCAAAACATGCTTTAGTTACATGATTGTAGGGTTATTATTCTCTCTCTTTTTTCCCATAGTAAATTGATGGACCTCTCTCTTAGGTTGTTGGTTTTTTGTCTTATTTCCCCTCTCTTTTCTTCCATCAGTTTGATACGAAGTTAGAGGAGAAGATGCATGCAAAAGAGGCTAATATGCACCATCTTCAAGCAAAAATTCAGGTAATTTGCCGAATTAATCCTTTGAGTCTATTACAATTGTTTCTTGGGGTTAGCTAATATTCTGTCTTCAGCTTTATGAGCTTTTTGAACGAACTTCTGTTTAACCAAGCAGATTTTCATATTCAACAACTTGATTTGCATTATTCCGGAATTGTAGGAAAAAGCTCGATTCGAAATGAAACAGCTCAGAAATAGTCTCAACTTCAAAGCTAAGCCACTGCCTTCATTTTATCATAGCCTGGACAAAAACAAGGTATCTGAGCTACTTCATTACGGAAAGTCGGCAGTGTTTGTTAATATTATGCTATTATAATTTGAATTCACTAAATAAGGTTGTCCGGTAAACTTAAGTTATAAAAGTGCTTATTTATTTGTGAAAGTTAAACCAGAAGAGCGTGTTTGTATACAAATAAATGCAGAATTAATTCATTTAACACCAATATGCCATTATTTATTTATCTGCGTTTTAGATTACCGCAAAATTAATGCAGAATCTGGAGCCTTTCTAAAACACCAAGAGCGTGTTTGTATACAAATAAATCCGCTGAAAATGAGTTTTTTTTTTTTTTGGTTCATCAGAGTTAATTTTGAAAAAAATGGCATGATTAGTTGTTAGTGGGATTTTGATTTTTATATTAAAATAATATTTAAAATAAAATGATTAAAGTTTATTTGATTTAAAAGTAGGAGAAAGATGTGTGAAGTGATGGTTAGTTAAAATTATGTGAGATGATGAATAGTAAATTAAAGTTGATGTGATGTGTAAAAATGATTGATTGGTATTATTTAATTATATTGATAATATTGAGGATAGTAGAGTTGAGTTAAGGCTGAATTAGATTTTGAGTACGAATTGAAAATGGATTGGGTTTTTTCATATACAAATACACTACGAAAGTCTAATTTTCCATTCATTTATTATTTAGTTTTTTCCTATTATTTTGAGTGATTGTGAAGTGCTCACATCCAATAGACTTGGGATTCTTAGGCAGTTGTAGTGAAACTCATTTGGCCACTGTAAATTTTCCCCAGGCAACAGTTAACAATGCCGATCCACAGAGAACACGTACAAATCCATCGAATATCGGCACAAGAGTTTCTAGAAGCTCTCTGTTATCCACAGCATGCAAAAGAGACACCAGCCCTTCATCTCCTTCTGCTGTAATTAACACTCTTTTAGATGGGAAGAGAGAAACCGACAAAGACAAGCATAAAGCAGGTCAGATAAAAAATATGGATAGTGGTAAACTACTGGAGACAAAGATGAAGAAAAGAACGAATCATAAGACGAGTTAGGATTTTGTTACAACAAGTGCCTCTGCTAGTAAGGAAAAACTTCAGGCAGTTTCTTATAGTTACGCCAAAACTCGGAAAGTATTTTAGTGATTTGTTATTCCAATTAGATGCAAGCATGTGATGTATTTTGTAATTGTATGTGTAGCTAACTTATTTCAAACCAGGACTCTTCACAGCTCTCTTGTATGCACATTTTTATATTTTATATATGTATATATATGAACATGCTCTGGAACTCCTTTTTTCCACTGAACTGAACGTCATTATCGCACTTGACAGTTATCTACTCAGTCTCGCTGTGGAACTTCTTTTATTTTTTCAGAAAATAACTTCACTATCCTTTCTTTCCTTCAAAACGATAGTGGATGCTATAAACCTCAAATGGGAACAAAGTTCGAATACAACGGATAACACCCGACTACAACTACAAAAACAACAAATTGGGAGGACATGCTTAACCAAGTGGCCAAGAAACACAAAAACCGTAGCTAAGGCAGGCCTACCTGAACCGTTAGTCTACACA